CTTTTTCTAGTGCCATGATATACTTCTTTAGGTGCCCAAAATTGCACAGCACAGGTGTGGTCTTACCAGCAATTTAAAAAGAGGCAAAATTATATTTTCATCCTGAGAATTGATGCCCTATTTATACATGACAAAACCTTACTGGCCTTAGCAACTGCAGATTGACATTGCATATTGCTGCCTAATTTGTTGTCTATAACAACTCCCAAATCCTTCTCGTGGGTGGTTATCCCTAGTTCACTACCATTTAGGGTGTAAATTGCTTGTGCATTCTTAACCCTGAAGTGCATAACTTTGCATTTCTCTACGTTAAATTTCATCTGCCATTTTAGTGCAGTCCCCCAATCTATCCAAATCCCTCTGCAGCAAAGCAATATCCTGCTCACATATTTATTACTTTACAAAGTTTTGTGTCATCTGCAAACACTGATACATGGCTTTCAGTGCATATTTCAAGATCATTTATAAATATGTTAAATAGAAGCGGTCCCAAAACAGAACCCTGAGGGACACCACTTACCACTTTTGTCCAGCCTGAAATTTACCATTAATGACAACTCATTGTACTCTATCTTTAAGCCAATGTTCTACCCAAGAACAAGAATATTCATCTAGACCAATTTCTTTTAGTTTGAAGACTAACCTATTGTGAGGAACTGTATCAAATGCCTTGGCAAAATCCAAGATCATCACATCCACTGCAACTGCAACTTATCTATACTTCTACTTCTTTGCAGAATGCAATTAGGTTAGTTTGACATGAGCTATGTTTTGTTAAACCATGCTGATTATTGCTGATAAAGTTCTTCCCAATGAATTTCCCAGATCATTTTCTAAAGGGCCTTTATGTTTCCTGTCAGTCACCTGCTACACGATTTTTCTTGTAACTCAAGTACATAATATTATTGAAAATTCAATAGCTTTACCTGTTTTTCATTCTATTTAATGTGAATCAAAAGCGTGGAATGTGAAACACAGGTGCATGCTTCATGTATGTACAAAGGAAAAATAGACAAAAGGAAATGCAGAGCAAAAATAAGAGGTCCAAGGTAACATAGGAGGATGGTCAGAACAGGTGCACAAAAGGTTGTGGACCTACAGAAACTGTAATATATAGGACATTGACAGGCAGATAAAAATTACTTGCAGAGAAATATGGTGAAGTGAAAGATTGATGAGAAAAATGGCAAACGGAGAACGGGGAATAAACACTGGCTGACAGAGTTAGGGTGAAGCAATACAGGTAGCAGACATAAATGGGTGATCGGATGAAACAGACAGGAATGGTAATTAAGTGCAGGAATCAATAGAGAAACATAAAGACAACCCAAGCTGACAGTCAGGACACAACCAGAGGAATGGTAGCTTGGTTACTTTGGGTCCACATGAACACAGGCAAGGTAAGCCATGGGTGACTCAACAATCAAGCCATGAGACTAGCAAGGGGAGAGGTTACATAGGGGATAATTGTTTAAAGCAACCTGAACCATTTTCATTAAAACTCAACATAACGGAGCAACAACCCCTGGGCATTCTAACAGCATACTAATGAATAACCAATGATCCAAAACTATGATCTATATTTTAGAAGGCAGAAAGAGGGCAGCCTCTGTTATAAAGTGCCCCAACACTCAAACTCGGAGCCAAGCACCTGGATTCCAACTACCGTGAATGCCCATTTCTTGATGCATTGCACACATAACAGCTGTATTAAGCCTTGTTCTACTTACTTTATATTTTACAAGTTTCACATATCTGGGCATTCTATGAAAAGAAAAAGGTTTGATTGGTTTGAAAAACATTGCTGAAAGACACAGATGTTTATTCTTCTAATTTTGACAGATATCACAGAACCATAATAAGTGCTTGTTTCTTTGTATATGTGTGTGTGTGTATATATGTATATATATACACACACATGCGCAATTAGGGAGTTCGCATGTGTATCTGAGCGGCCAGGGTCATTATCATCAATTATATTTGTTTAGATAATGCAAATATTACATTTGAAGAACCATAGTAAAAATTCTTTAATTATTTTTTTTATCCATCATACAGTTTGATTGCTCACCACCATTCTTACCTGTAACAGCGTCCTGAACACTGACAACTGTCACAGTATCGTCTGGTGTGATTTTCAAAGTCTGCACCAACTGCTACTAACAGAGGCATACAAAGATTTTTTGGCACCGTTGAATGTCCCTCAAATGAATAAACACATAGCTGAATAAACAGCTTTCTACATTTCTCCTATCCCCTATTGTTTTTTTTTTAAGACTTACAGAGTACTGCATATTCTGTAAACTTGAAGAATGCCTAATTCGGCAGCCCAATGTTCTGTTAAAGTCATTAGCACCTAACTCTTATTCTAGGTGTTGACGACTGGGTCATCTACCGGAGGGTGATAAACCCCTTGAGATTTGGTTTTCATTGAAAATAAAATGTTTCCCAAAACAAGATACTGTATTAGTGTCTTCCTAGATTAAATTAGATTGCATCTTACAGACCAGGGACTCATAACACATGTAATGCGTTCTCTGGTCAATATTCTCCCTTGAAAAGGAAGGACACCTGGCTCAGACTTTTCTTACCATCAAGATAATAGCTTCTTCTGTTCAAACTATGTTGGCAGGACATTTAAAAAAAAAAAATCAAAAACAAAAGTAAATCAAATTTTTCTCTCCATAGAGTACTAATGAACTAACACAAAAGAAGGTTGTGATCTCTAGTTGTTGTGACACTGCTTTGTATATGCTGAGAGCAATGTGCTATGCAAGCTGCCCTGTGGTTTGATGCAACTTATTTCAACAGAACCAATGATCCAAATATGTCTGATGCTTGAGGAGCCCAGGGTCACACATAGCCATGAATTTTATTGCCAAAGTCCCTGTTTTATGAATGTCTTCCACCCATCTGTGGCACCAAGAAAAATACTTCTTTTCAGAAACAAAATCCATGGTTGTTGTAATCAAGGGGGTGGGAGATTCAGAAAATCTGGTGTAGCTTTTAAAATCATATATGGCAGTGTTGAAGAATGATATTATAAGAAACAAAATGTACGTTAAAGGAGTTGGTTATGCCACGCACGGTTTAATGCATGCTCCCAGAAAGGGCTGGGATTTTTATGAAGGGTCCTGCCTGCGCAATTTCCTTCACATCAAAACCTTCATATCAACTCAGTATAAGATTTGGCTCTGCTTACAATAACTTACATCGTTATGCGCCTCCTTTGAAGATCTTCTGATGGATTAACACGGTGTCATACAGCCATTAACAACCATGTAATCTCCATATTTAAAATTCAGTCAATGTATAACTTTTTAAAACCTCTAATTTATATACTACTCAAATTCATAAACCCATTCTGATTCTAATCAACACCTGGTCAAGTCCATTTTAACACCCTGCCTTTTCTAAGGTTAGCACAATGGAATGGGTCCTGATTAACCTAGCTGCCCATTGATATAAATAGTAGAATATAAATATATTTCTTAGAGAATCTTGGGTACCACTCATCCTATTAACATGACAAAGTCAGGTCCCACCACAGCAAGGAAACTGGCCTCCAAAATTAACCGACTACCAGCACTTTATGAGTAGTTTCAAGTTTTCTAAATTTATACTAGTTTTATGTTCATCTACGACAGTTTGTTACCTGTACGCTAAGAAAGAGCCCAGACTTACAAAGGGTATTTAGTTCTCTCATATATTTGTACTTGGAATGTTTTAGTAATGCAGGACTTGCAGTATTTCATTAACTGTGAAATACTACTAAAATTTCTTATATGCGAATTTAGTATTTTTCACTTAGAGAAACTGATGTTTTCATTGCAAGGTTAAGACTGCCTCTAGTGGCTGTCTATTAGACAGCCAGTACAGTTGATTCCTGTCGTTTTATGGATTGCATGAGGATGTCCAGCGTCGTGCAAAACCCCACAAGAAAGCATTGATTCAGGTTTCTGCACTATTAAACGTATATTCTCTTCTTTTACACATTATGCTCCTGTTTTGAAGAAAGCATTGCAAATGAATACTAAGTAATAATTTACAATTAGGTGGCTAAACTTTTTTTTTTTTACTTTAAACATATTTGGTATCGAGCATAAATTGTTGCATTTTGGTTTCCGTAAACACGACACCATTGACACTTTAAAGGGCAGCTTCATAGTAACGGCAGATAAGAACCATTCAGCCCATTTAGTCCGCCAATCTTCAAGCACTGTAATCTGTAAGTGTTGTAGTGACTATAGTCCCGATAAACTTCCTTTACTTTTGTCTTAATATGCAGCGCATAAGCGCCATCTCCCTACCCACTGGCGCTACACAGAGAAGCCCAACTTCTACAATGAGATATCCAAATATTTGCAGCACACATGGCTTGATAATACAGTGCAGAACAGTCTCCTTCATTTGCCAGATTCCTCCCCAGAATTGAGCTAGGCTAAAACTGCTTGTCTTGTTTGTACGACTGCAATCATGCATGCTAATATTATTTATTATATTGTAATGTCAGTATGCATTTAAAAAAAAAAGTTAAATATTGAAGAACTTTTATTAAGATTAGAAAAATGCTACTGAACTCAAATGGTTTGGTGAAAATATGTACTTATTTAGAATGCAGACCTTTTTAACACAAAATGGTTGTTGGAAAACTAGATTAAATAGTATCAGAAAGATCACTTGCCAGTGGAAAATATACTAATCTTAAGATATTCAGCGTTTGCATCAAAGAATTATGAATTTTGCAAGGCATGTCCCTACAGTCTTGTGAAAAATGAGCAAAAAAATAACCAGAAAATGTTTTAACTTAAAAAATGTTAGTAAAAAGTTTCTAGATCAAATGTTTTCGTAAGTCGTCCTAGAACGCAGCTTAAAATGTGTCCGAGTAATAGCTGAAAGTCACTAAATGAGCATAAATAAGACATCAAGTAGCTACAAAAAGTGAGTTATTTCAGAGAAGGTTTGAATATTTAAAAATTCTAAACATTCAACCCACATCAGGTTGCAGAGGAAGATCAAACTTTATTGAAACTGCTTGCATACAAAATATATTGCACTATAACCAAACAAATGTTAACATAAAATCCAATCTGTTGTAGCTAATATATACAGAGGTATTGCCCCAAGAGCATCACAAGGTTAGTCTACCTTGGTTAAGTATCTACAGTATTTTAACCAAAACAGCATACAGATGATGTGTGAAAGGATCCATTTTTGTGTGTTTATTCCGATTATTATACATTCCCAAAATAAATAAACGAGAAATCAACATTAGTGTTTGGCAATACTAGACATTTTAGAGATATTTAATAATGGTTTAATTTTGTGCAGTGTTTGCCATTTTGTATATTCACTTGTATGCAAGAGCAAAAAGAGGGAGGGAAGATAAGGAAATAATATGAAACAAATGAATAGTTATCTTCACGTCATACAGACACATGGTTTAGCTGTACATCTCTGCATATAAAAGGTTGATAACCAAGACGGAACCAACTGGAGTTTGAAAGAAGATAGGGAAAACTGTCTCACAGTTGTTCCAGTAGTGAGCCGATTTCAAATTCATCAGAAATGATCAAAGTAAAAATCTGAATTCCTCCCTCTATATGTATCATTACCTGCAGTTACAATACACCAGGTACAGCATACATGCATTTCTTGAACCTGAAAACACTTTCATTGATACAAAGCCCATCCAATACCTGTATTGTCTAAAGGCTTGTGGTGTATGCAAGCATTTACTCTCCCTTTGAAAGTGATGAAAAAAAAAAAAAAAAAAAAAAAAAAAAATATATATATTAAAAAAAAATTAAAAAAAAAAAAGATCAGTTTAGGCCAAACGAAGACTATTTTGTAAATAGGTACGCATTCACCTCTAAGAAAAAAAAAAAAGTGAAAAAGAAAAGATATTTTAATCTTTCAAGACATAAAAATTCCTCAACAATTATGTCTATAAAAAGACATGTGTCCTTGTCATGACTATTCATTGCTAATTTTTCAGTGCAAAAACCAAATTTCTACATTTTCTGTAGCTGAGGCTGATTTTTAAGTATGTAAAACATTATGGAAAGCATGCATTCTCCTAAAAAGTTCTAATGATGAGATTGCTACATATATTTTACATTTAGTATTTTCAAAGAATCTCCCTTACTTCCTGCATCCAAATAATTCCCCTACCTGCCAAGATATAAAAAAGGCACAGATCATACAACTTTTTTTTCTTTTTGCCAATGAAAATGACAGTTTGTAATTACACAAATCTTAGGTCCCACTAAGACACTGTAGAATGGGCCAAAACTGTAAAAGGACATAGGACATGATGCATAATTGGAAACATAAGACCGTCTGAATTAACGCATCTGCTATTCAATTTGAAGTTTGAAATATAGATATGATTTTTCTTTTTAAATCAGCTGCCTGAAAACGGTACAACTGAACACAAGTATAACCAACACACATCTTAGTATTTTTCCCATTTATTTTCTCTTTTAAACAAAAAATATTTTTTAAGTCAAGTGCAATATGAACTTGAAAGCCTCAGAAGGTTTGAATATGTTCCCAATGTCTGACATTTGAAAACTGTTAACAGCCAATGCAAACGAAAGAAGGCTAACAGTGGCTCTGTTTTATGCCCTGCATCGTCTTGCCCATTTGTCTTTGGCCTAACAGGTTTCTCTAATGCAAATTACGTTTATTTTATTCAGATTGTGATGACTTTAGACATGTACGGTTATGGGACACCATTAACCACCAATTGTTGGCCATCCACCACCTCTGGTTTCTCCTTCTTTAGGATGCGATCTTTGCCAGAGCGCAAGCGGTTGCCCTCAATAGATGCATTCTGCAGAGTTTTAGTATGTACACTTCTCTCGTTATTGCAGTCAATCCGGATCTGAAATGAACAAACACTGATTTATTTCAAATGTTCACACGCACAAGACCATACAATTATAAAAGTACACAGACATGCTCTCAACTATCATTTCCACATGACCGCGTCTTGGATTGCAGTATTTAGGCTTAAAATTACAAATTAAATTAAGTGACATATGTACTTTCCCAAAGAACAGAGTACACATTAATGGTTATGGTACTTGGAGCATTCCCTTAAGGGGACACTATAGTCACCTTAACAACTTTAGCTTAATGAAGCAGTTTTGGTGTATAGAACATGCCCCTGCAGCCTCACTGCTCAATCCTCTGCCATTTAGGAGTTAAATCCCTTTGTTTATGAACCCTAGTCACAGCTCCCTGCATGTGACATGCACAGCCTTCCATAAACACTTCCTGTAAAGAGAGCAATATTTAGGCTTTATTTATTGAAAGTTCTGTTTAATTAAGATTTTCTTATCCCCTGCTATGTTAATAGCTTGCTAGACCCTGCAAGAGCTTCCTGTATGTGATTAAAGTTCAATTTAGAGATTGAGATACAATTATTTAATGTAAATTACATCTGTTTGAAAGTGAAACCAGTTTTTTTTCCATGCAGGCTCTGTCAATCATAGCCAGGGGAGGTGTGGCTAGGGCTGCATAAACAGAAACAAAGTGATTTAACTCCTAAATGACAGTGAATTGAGCGGTGAAATTGCAGGGGAATGATCTATACACTAAAACTGCTTTATTTAGCTAAAGTAATTTAGGTGACTATAGTGTTCCTTTAATTGAGGACACAATAAATAATGCAATGCTATATAAACAACTATTCATCTTATATGAAAAGTGTTTTCCTCTGCTAAGCATACAATTGTTTATTCTGGGACAGGTTGTTTATGGTTAAGCACCTCACAGTGCAAAACACCAAGCATGATGTGTTGTGATGTCAGTCTGGAGGTTTATATTACTTGCCAGAATAAAAGTAAGCTTTTTGGATTTTTCAGCTCATAATTACTCCTTCAACCTATCTCCAGCTATCCATGTAAACACCTTTACACTACATATTTATGTATTAATAAAAATGTTATATAATAACCTGTAGAGAGCTATCGGATGTCCTCGCTTTAGTCTCTCTTGAATTGCGCTGTCTGTTGTCAGCTCGTGATTGGTCATCATTTACTAAGAGGGAAAAACAAAAAAAAATTTTTTTACATTTTCTTTTTCAATTCCATCATTATAAGGGCAAAGACAAATAGTATGTGACAGATAGTGATGACAATTTCTATTATATTTAAAAATATATATATTTTATTTATAAAATATTTTAACAGGAAAGATACATTGAGATTTCTCTCGGTTTCAAGTATGTCCTGTGTCAATATATGCTAATGATTAAAATAATGCAAGTTCATAGAATGAATTAAACAATATAACTACATTACCTATGTAATTGTTATACACATTGTGATTATTAGACTGCCAACCAAATTGAAAGTCTGGTTATTGCGTTTGTCTCCAATATGACTACAAATTCGACTCATGCCAAGCTGAGCAGATGCATGAATGGGCCCTACTGTGGCAATAGTGTTGCCTTTTTTGTTTTGTAGAAAACATTAATTTGCCTTTTTTTTTTTGCAAAGATGATGTAACAGCAATACAAAGAAGTCATGTTTGGTATGACAGGATGCACTGTTTTAATGTGCTTACTGTTCAATCTACAGCTATCAGTGCGTTTTTGCTTTGAAGTTTTCCAATGATCTTCATATATTTCTACAATATGAGGGAAAAAACAAATGCAAAATATTACCCTTGAAGCCTCCACGTCCTCTTAACCCTTGACCCCGTGCTCCACCACGTCTACGTGTATCTCCTCTTCGTAGATAGTTATCACGATCATCTTCAGCTGGAGCCAAGGACCAATCGCTTAGTTCATCTCGGTGGTCTGATTCAGTCTCTGAAGCATTAGAAGCCTCTGAATTCGTACCTGACAAAATATTACGCCACAAAATGATTCAACAGCCCTCGAAAAAGGTATGGGCTCTATTCCCTAAAGGTTGGTAAACTCAATTTGCCATCTCATGCTTTATTTTTAGATTCTGGTCATAAAATTAAACAGTTATGTGGTGATATTTACTAGACACCCAATTGAAGAGAAAAGCCAAGGGAATGCAAATATTGTGTAGCAAAAAGTAACAGATTAAAAATTGAAATGATACAGATTATACAGAGTATGATTATCTTTAAAGGGATAGTATAGGCATCAAAATATATTTTACTATATTTTACTATAGTCACTAGAACCACTACAGCTATGTAGTGGTTCTGGTTCAGCAATGTAGTGGTTCTGGTATCCATAGCCTGTCCCTGCAGTCTGAGCAGAGAAAAGGCAGTTTTTACATTGCTGCCAAGGTACACAGCTAGTGGCAGGCACACAGACAGCCACTAGAGGTGCTTCCTAGTACAGTGCTTAAATTGTGAAGCTCAGGTGTTCAGCATCTCCACACCTTGCATGGAATGGCTTAACGGTCTCCATAAGGCTATGCTGATTGGTGCAGTCTTATGCTGCACAAGCGCAATAGCCCCACAATGTTTGCCTAAGAGAACGTATTGGATTGGCTGAGATCATCAATACTGATAACTCCGTAATGGAGACAGAAAAGGTGAGTAAAATTACTTTACCCATGCAATCTAAGGGGAGCAGGGGACCTAAATAGTGTAGTAAAAACACTAGTGTTCCTTTAATGAAGTGGCTTTGGTGTATTAATCATGCCCCTGAAGTCTCACTGCTCAATTTTCTGCCATTTAGGATTTAAAATTACTTTTACTTCTGTTTATACAGCCTTAGCCACACCTCCCCTGGCTGTGACTTACAACAAAACTTTAAATCACGCACAGGAGGCTCAGACATGCTCTAGCAATCCATTAACAGAGCAGGAGATAAATTCTAAATTAAACGCACAGTGCAATACAGAAAGTTTAAACATTAGAGCTCTCTTTACAGGAAGTGGAAGGCATACGGATCACATGCAGGAAGATCTGACGAGGGCTGCAAAAACAAGGTGATTAAACTCCTAAATGGTAGACAATTGAGCAGTGAGACAGGAGGGCATGATCAATACACCAAAACTGCTTCATTAAGGTAGAGTTGTTTTGGGGACTACAGTGTATGCCTTTAAACTTTCCTGACAAATATTGTGTATGAATTTGTGATGGGGGAGCTTAAAATATGATAGGATAATTAAACAGCGAATCAGAGTACAGGGATAGCGATGAATAAAAAGGTCAAGGTACAAAATATTTTTTTTACGTAGTGCTAGTTACTGCTCCCCTGGCTACAAAAGAGTTATTTTTATTAAGCTCTATCACAGTATCTTTAATTTAGAAATTCTAATATCCTATTCTGACAATTTCCTACAAGAGACTGCAGCGGCCTCATGTGTTTTGAAAGTTTAAAGGGATACTATAGTGCTAGGAATACAAAGAGAAGTTATACATATTATTTATAAAGTAGCAAGATATTGCATACAATAGGTGAACAAAATTAGCATGAGAAGATAGACACTTAAGAACAAAAGGTGGTAAACGCATGACGTTTAAAAGAGGCGGCGGCGTATGATTACACAAAGAGCGCAGCATTAAAATAAAAAATAAATTAAAAAGACTTACCTGAGGCATAGCCTGTGCCCCGCCTGCTGCGTCCTCGACTGTTGTAAGGACGACTTCCCCGTCCCATGCCACTACAATCTTCACTCATATATCCCTTCTCCTTGTCTGGGCGACTGGGGGGAGGCCTAGAGCTGGCTCCAATTTGACGAAGTTGCTCATCAATCTGCAACCTTTCAAGGCGGAGTTGGTCCACTTCCTAGTGTTTCATTAAAGTTGAAAGTACATTTATTTTATTGCCACAAAATGTTGTCTTACTTCTGAGACTTCTATAACAGACACTGTCAAACGGTTCGATATGTGCCTGAATATACCAGCTCTATACTGCAGTGACACAAAACAAAAAAGTGGACCTGCCATAAACTTTAGATGGTGGATGAACAGTCCACTTCATTCAATTTATAAAATGTAATCCAGTCAAGGTGCAAGTGAAAGCAACACATACAATTATTTTATTCATAATTAAAGATTGGAACACGTGTCTGTATGCATATATGTGTACTCCCATATGGATGTTAAAATATGTTATTTTTAGGTTATATGTGTCAACATAAAAATATGTACAGTACCACCATGCTAGATTTGCTTTAAAAGAAACACTTTAATAAATCAGATTCAGACTATCAAAATAAATGAATAACTTCAGCTAGAGTTCAATATATTTACCTTTAAATAGTTTAGATGATAATCCAAAAGAACAGTAGCATTGGTAATGCTGTCTTTTGTGCCCACGAAAACAAATGGAACCATTCCCTGTGAGGGAAAGAAAAATAATTAAATCTTTAACTAAGACAGCAGCCCCCCAAAAAACAACCAACCAGCCTCCCCCCCCCACCCCCCAAAGAAAATTATCTGGCTTGATAAAAGTTTAATATACATTACATTAACACAATATAGTCAGGAAATACATGACCCTATAGTGTTAGAAAAATCATTGTTGAATCAATGCATCTTTTAGGAAAGTTCAACACGTTGTCCAGCACTGATCCAGGAAGCACCTCTTGAGGCAGTCAGTGACTGCCATTAGAGATGTCTCCAAGCAGCAAAAGGCAGTGTTTACAGCAAAATGCCTGCAGGGATATACTATACTCACCAGACCAACTACATTAAGCTGTAGTTCTGGTAACTATAGTGTTCCTTTAATATTGCTTATTATCAGTTTTAAAAGTAAAACAGAAGCAGCACTATTAGCTGTCAAGGAAATCAAATATCTGTATTAAAAAAAATCAGAAGAATGTGATGTACATGTGGGAACATAAATGTGTTATCGATAAAACACACACACACACACATATACACATATACATACACACACACACACACAAAATAAATTGGACCCCCAACATAGAACATTAAGAATTAACCTGTGAATGACCTAATAATTTAGAACCAAGCTGAAAGTACAATACATACGATTTTGAAACTTGCATCCAATAAATAAAACCAATAATAATAATAATAATAATAATAACAACAACAACAAAAAAGTCAAAACAGAAAAAGCATCCCACACATACCTCTTCTTGGGAAATATTCTTGTCATTTTCAGCTTCGATTCTCACTCGAACCACTCCTGATTTGTCAACAATTTCTTGAATGAGTTTTCCATTTTTTCCAATCACTTTACCTGTGAATAATTAAAAACATAACGTGATCTATGTTTTACGAAAAAAGGATGTTAACATCGCACTTTAAATGCTTAGAACTTATAATGATGAATGTTATGTCTCTTCGTAAGTTTGTAGCAAAATTGTACAGCTACCCTGGACTTCATTATAAGACGAATGACATCCACCAGAATCAAACGCATCAAATATAAAAAGTTTCTGACTGGTTGCTATCACATAGTCAACATTCTTTTTTACAACTTTCTACAACTTTTAATAGTTGAACTGTTATTCTAAATTGATTAAAACTTGGCTTAACTTATGTAAAGGAAATACTAGAATACATAGCTACAGTATAATGAAGTAACTGTACTGTTATAATTGTATGCTGCAACTGTTTGTTTAGGTAGACAGATATATATTAAACTATCTTTTGAATTAATTATATAATGCTGAATATATTGTTGATACAAATAAGAATGACGCAATGGTATTATTGTTTATGTAGAATTCAAATGTTTGTTTATGTAAACAGTTTGTATTTTACTTTTCTTCATTTTTGATTTCATTTTATAATACTAAATATACTGGAAAAAACAAAACAAAATTCAATTAGAAATTTTTTGAAAAGAATCACATTACAAAAAGAATATTCTGATATGATTAATACATAAGATTGATGAAAATTTTAAATAAATATTTGGATCACTGATCAGCCATATTTTAAGTAACTTAAGTCAAATAATGCTTATCTAGGATGTCCTTAAACACACATTATGTTTAGCCCTACAAAGCTACCAACCTTTGCTGCACATTACAAAGTATTGATGAATTGCTTTTTACATAAAAATGGACAGAATAACTTAATGAAGAGGTGTTTAGTAAGGAGCTTGCACCACACTATGTGGCCCAGTTAGTTTTTGTAAAGATTGTGACAAAAGAAAAATATTCATAGGAAAGGCCACCATGCCAAACTGTTAAATAAATATGATTAAATAATCCAGGAAGTCACAACAAACTAAAGAACATCAACCAAGTATCAGCATTCCACAATAAGAGGCAATATTATTGCAAAGGAACAGATATATATATACTTTATTGCCTTTTTAGCTTAAACCAAGATAGTAATTACGTCCAGATCAGCACTCTTTGAATTTAGGATTTCACAGTCAGAAATCAGAAAACAGGCTGCAAGAAGTCCTGATTACACAAAGATGATATTCCTGGACATACACTTGAATTTGTAAGTGCCAGAAGTTTCTTTTACTATAAAGATTCTTGGATAAGGCCTTGACAGAGAGACAACTCTTATTACTGCATAGAGTGTCCACTTCATTGACCAGACAAACAAATTTCACCGAATTTACTCTGAACACAGATGTAGGAGGAGGGAGGCAATCCAATTTTACCCTGTAAATACAGATATGAAGCAAGAATCCTCTCTAGATCTGGCTTACATGCTTTCTTTTCAATGGTGTAGTTGTAGAATTTCCCATCTTATATTCCTGTGATATTGCCGGAAACCTTTCCCTAATTACCAAATCTGTGGTAAAACAGCTGTTTGAAGCCATGATCTTCAAAATTAATACTGATACGAAGACTGTTCTTTAGAAAAAAAAGAAAGAAAAAAAAAGACATATTCTGCTTCACCTGGTTCTATTTGTCTTTGGGGGAGACATTTCCTGCCATCCACCATCTATTATAACAGGTTGTCTAGCCAGGATATTTGGATGTATCAGCTGTCCATGATCTTAGCCAAAAAGGTGTTCTTTGGATGGATAAGTCCACAGCTTGGGTAAACAATCTCAAAATTTCATATGAGGAGTCAGTCATTCTTAAGAGCTTGCCTTTCTCTTTTTTAATTTGGAGTGAAACATCTAATTGCTTTGTGCATGTGCTTCACAATTCCAGGTTGAATGCATTACAACCACTGAATGAATTTCACCTCAGAACTGTTCAGCCGTGTGTAGAAATGCACAGGTGCTTTCCCTGGCACCTGCATTTCAGATGTCCAACTGTAACCTGCAGAGAAAGGCCATAGAGCCACAAGTACTCTACTGGGAAGAAACATTCCTATGGTGTGTTCACAAAAAATACATGCTGTATGATGCGCTTTAAATAATGCTTAAAAACAAACAAACACCCATTAAAGAAAATACTGATAAGTACATACCTACTAAATTTCGAGGAACTTGTATCACATCCTCTGCAAATTCAAGGTAGGTCCTGGCTTTCTTTACAGCATCTTGGTCCTACAAAATAACCAGAATTTGTTTTACTTTTTAAAACAATGACACATTAGTTAATTACTTTTCTATTGTAGAGGTACAGCTCAACATACAAAAAGGAACAGTGAACACTTACAAAGACTACAAAATGGTCAAGATCCCTCTGCTAATTTTAGTTCTCCTGTTAAGTTCAAGGATACTAACAGAGCAAATAAATGTAAAAGCTTTACAGACCTATTCAGATCAGAACAAAAATTTGAGTATGCACTGACTATCAAGTCCTCACCATGAGGTTCTAGAAACCTTTTTACAACAGGGTAATATGGAAGGCATAGGTGTAATGTTACAATAACCAATTCGTCTCAGTTCCTGTTACAAAAAGTTAGACAGTGCATGCTTGCTTTTTGCATTTATAGCAGTCAACTAGCACAAATGTAGCACAAAATAAATAAATATGGTATACTTATGCATATACATTTCAACATGGGGGTCTTTGTTTTTCTACTTCTAAGAAAACTAAAACAAAATGATAAACCAAAACGCAAGTGAAGCTCTAGGAGTTACCCAGTGTATAAATGCACATAGCCCCTACCATTTACATTTAAAATAGTTTGATCCATGTCAAACTAAAAAATAAATACTTTAATTTATTTTTCTTTGAAAGTTGATTGTGTTAGATTACTATCTCTGCAAAGAAAATGTAATCAAAATAAAGTCACAGCCTAAACATATCAGATCCAAAAAAAAAACCACCGGTATATACCCAATTCTCTGTTTTTAACTCAGCACAGAAAATGTATTAAATGACCACTATAGTGCCAGGAAAACATACTCGTCCCACTCCCGTGGCGCCGTGGGGGGAGGAAGGGGTTAATCAATGAGAGAGCCGCTAGAGGCTGGATTAACCCATTTGTAAACATAACATTTTCTCTGAAACTGCTATGTTTACAGTAAAAAAGGTGAACCCTAGCTGGACCTGGCACCCAGACCACTTCATTAAGCTGAAGTGGTCTGGGTGCCTATAGTGGTCCTTTAAATGGGACAGTGTAGGCATAGTTTCTGCGTCTCATTGAACAGTTTAAAGTGTCTGGAATCCCCTGATGCTGCCCTTTCAGCTGTTTTGGCGAATTAAGAAGTATTGGCCTGAAAACAATGGATGATTGGCTGACAGATTTTAGTCTATCAGGGCTTCCATTGCTTTTATGAATGGGTATGACTACAAGTAAGTGTGTAATCTCTGCCTTATCCACACCCCAGTAGAGGCCAGGTAGGTTTGTATTACTAAAGCATACCATCTATATACAGAAATGCTGTAGTGTTCAATGACTTTAACAAAGTATATATTGACTAACTGAAAATCATACCTCTCCATAAATATGAAATGTACACGTGTCCTCATCCAAATCGATTGCAGTTACACCAGGAACCTTTCTAGCTTGCTGAATATTGGCTCCATGAGTACCAATCGCAAGACCCATAAGATCTTCCCGTACAACAAATTGTTCATGAAATCGAGATGCTAACTGCCTTGAACTCTGAAAAGAAAAATAACAGATATACCTTCAAAGAGACAAGCTACAGTAACAAAATAAAAAAATAAAAAAAATCTGTGTTCAAGAAATTAAATACAATTTTAACATGTTATTCAGTATAATAATTTAGAAAGTATTAATAAAAACAACATTTTGAACATATTAAAAAAAACAAACAAACAAACAAAAAAACATAAAAAGCTCAATAAAAGCCAGGTATAACCCACTCTATAGTAGCACGTATAGATTTAATTATCCCAAAATAGTATAGTGCTTTTTTGACCAACTCTAAAGGGATCAGGATTAAGATCTTTTTATTAAACCAATCCAATCCAAACCTCCCTTATAATAAATGGAAATTTGGTTGGCAAACAACATCCTTGTCAAGTTACAGTTAGAATTTATGAGACTGCATAGCAATGAAAAGGAATGAGTACCTGCTGATGACAAAGAAAAAAAGGGAGATCCAGCTCAAATCTGAAGGGCAGTCCAAGAATAAAGTTTTCTCTGTACAATGCAAGCAAGAGAGTGCCCTCTCCCTTATTGTACATATAGGCACCCAGACCACTTCAGCTTAATGAAGTTGTCTGGGTGCCAGGTCCAGCTAGGATTAACCCTTTTTTATATAAACAGAAGAGAAACTGCTATGTTTACATATGAGTTAATCCAGCCTCTAGTGGCTGTCTCATTGACAGCCGCTAGAGGCGCTTCTCACTGTGATTTTCACAGTGAAAAGACGCCAGCGTCCATAGGAAAGCATTGTGAATGCTTTCCTATGGACTGGCTGAATGCGCGTGTGGCTCGTGCCGCGCATGCGCATTCAGCCGGTGACGAGGAGAGTCCCCGCCCGGCGCTGGCGAAAGAGGTAAATTTAACCCCTTCCACCCCTTAGAGCCCGGCGGGATTAAGGCCCTGAGGGTGGGGGCACCCTCAGGGCACGATAGTGCCAGGAAAAGGAGTATGTTTTCCTGGCACTATAGTGGTCCTTTAAGAGTCATTACCTGGGCTTATTCAGATGTTGCAAATCTCAAGGAACAAATTGAGGAACTTTAAAAGATGCACATCTTCATTACTTTGCATTATTGAAACTTCATATAGTTAATAATGCATTATTTATAAAATAGAGCAATGAAAAACTACTTTCTTGTTCGTCTTCTAGAGTGGGTTAGTGGAAAATTGCTTAAGCTGAGCATTACTAAAAACAGAGGTAATCATATTGGTGACACAATAGATGTCAAGACTTAAGAGTCTAGAAAAGAGAGGATTACATAATTCAGAGCACATGTGCAAACTTGTAGAGCTTGATCAAGGACTCTGATGTAAAGGGCAATTACCGGCACCATTACCATTACAGCTTAATCTGGTGGTTTTGGCGTCCCTGCAGGTTGAGCAGTGTAAAGAATGCAAGTACAACATTCAGTCTCTCCACCAGAACCAGGACTGATTATTTCAACCAAGGATGCTGGGCCAGGGGAAACGAGGTAATGGTGGGGGTGGGAGGAAGGGTCATCTAGTTACTAGAACAGTATAACATTTGTATGTAAACATTATCTTCTGATAAACATTCAGTTAAACATCTGCAATGGACTAGATTTTTCTTTTTTAAACCATATGCCGATGGTGTCAAGTACTGCCGGCATATTAATAATCAGATGCATTCTTGTCAATGTCCAACCAATAATCAGAATGCTTTCTCTGCATTCTCAAATTGGTGAATCTGACAAAGTTCTCATAAAGTTATACAACCTGAGCCTCTAACTATTTATAGGCAGCCTGGACCCTTAAATTCGTATTTGCGCAAAATGTTTTAAAAAGTTTACTACAGTTTACCTTTTTAAACATGCCGTTACAGCTCTCTCCCTCTAACAGTCTACAAATTATTTAATAAGACTCCAAATGCGTTTTTTCTTTACATAAGCCTTTGAAATAACAATATGCTTCTCTACTATAATTTGAACTTCCATCAGCTTAAATTCCAATGACAAGGTAAAAATTGAAGCACTTTGTGTCCAAGAATAGAAAAATCACTGTATTAGTTTGACTCTATGAAAATCTAAAGGTTGGAATTGCTTCTATTTAATGGCACTATGCAATCACAATGCCACAAAAACTAAAAATCCATCTTTAAGACTGTTCCAGAAGGGCTTTCATTTTAAATGCAATAATATAAAAAATAAAAATCACACCAATTTCCCCAAACAAGAAAGATGAAATACAACAGGGAACAACTTAACGAAAGTGAGGTATGCAAGAGAAACATTTTAAAGGGACACTATAGTCACCTGAACAACTTCAGCTTAATGAGGTTGTTCAGGTGAGAACTACAGCTCCCTGCAGTCTCTCATGTAAACATTGAAAGCTAGGAACACCTCCAGTTGCAGTCGCTCAGAGTGAACCAGAGGGACTTCGGAGTTCATGGAGGCATAGTATGCCTCCACCCACTCAGATCTGCTGTCAGCAGAGAACAGGGTAGCACTGTGCCCAACATCCTGTGATTCAGTATCTCCTCCCTCTGCATGCAGACACTGAACTTTCCTCATAGAGATTCATGGATTCAATTCTAGGGATCGACTGATTATCGGTTTTACCAATATAATCGCCGATATTCGGTATTTTCGGCCAATTCAGATACATATATTGCCGATAATACATCCTTGGACCGCCAGGTTCATTACAAGCCCGGCGGTCCTGGGGGGAGCGGGCATCAAACGCTTACTCACCTCCCAGCAGCTCCTCCAGCGTAACTCTCGCGAGACCCGCGGCCGTCAGAGCGGGTCACCATGGCAACGTTCCGCGTGACACGCTGACCGCGAGAGTTGCACCTGTGGGGCTGGAGGAGCTGCTGCGAGGTGAGTAAGCGCTTGCTCTCTGCCCCCCACAAAGCTCAGCCAATGCCACTGGACCACCAGGGACTGCTATATCCCCCCTCCCTGGCCAGGCAACAAGCAGGGAGGGGGGACAACAAAAATAAAATCATAATTAAACATTAAAAAAAAATAATAATAATTTAATAAAAAATGCCCCCTCACACACTCTCCATTATATACACTACACAAACACACTGTGTATATAATGCAGTGTGTGTGTTTGTATATACAATGCACACAAATACACACTGCATTATATACACACACTATACAAACACACACACTATACAAACACACACTGCATTATATACACACACTATACAAACACACTGTGTATATAATGCAGTGTGTTTGTGTAGTGTGTGTATATAATGCAGTGTTTGTGTAGTGTGTTTATATAATTCAGTGTGTGTTTGTGCAGTGTATATATAATGCAGTGTGTGTGTGTGTAGTGTGTGTATATAATGCTGTGTGTTTGCATAGTGTGTATATAATGCACACTACACAAACACTATACAAACACACACACACACTGCATTATATAAACACACTACATTCACTCTACACACACTACACAAATACACACACTTTGCATTTAGTATATACAGCATTCACTTTACGCACACTACCCACACACTACACAAACACTCTGCTTTCATTATATACACACACTACACTAATACACACTGCATCCACTACACACACTAGACAAATACACACTGCATCCACTACACAAACACACACTTGCATCACTCCACACACACACTACACAAATACACACTGCATCCACTACACACACTGCATCCACTACACACACACACACAGCTCCCCTGTCACACTGCATCCACTACACGTGGCATGTATATTTTGTGCATTTACCTTTAGAAATAGTTTTTATTTTCCAAAATGGTAAATGTACAGAATATCGGCAAATTATATCGGCTATCGGCCTGAGAGTTCACAGAATATCGGTATCGGCTCTAAAAAAAAAAAAAAAAAATATCAATATCGGTCGATCCCTATTCAATTCATCTCTATGAGGAGATGCTGACTGGCCAGGGCTGTGTTTGAATCATGCTGGCTCTGCCCCTGATCTGCCTCCTTGTCAGTCTCAGCCAATCCTATGGAGAAGCACTGTGATTGGATCAGGCTACCACATGTCAGCAGACTGCTTGTTTTTCTGAGTCTAACAGCATGCAGATTTACAGCTTCAGACTTGAATACAGTAAGATTTTTACTAAGTTTATGGAGGCATGAGGGGCCCAGATGGTGGTGTTAACACTATAGGGTCAGGAATACATGTTTGTGTTCCTGACCCTATAAACAATAAGTTTATGGAGGCATGAAGGGCCCAGATGGTGGTGTTAACACTATAGGGTCAGGAATACATGTTTGTGTTCCTGACCCTATAAACAATAATTAGAACAAAACATAGTAACGCAAAATGTTTGTACCTTTAAAAAAACAAAAAAAAAAAAAACAATGCAGCACATAGAGTTAAATATGTAAAACATCTTATAAAATAATTGCAAAGAAAGGTATATTTGCACTGGGGACATATGTTCACATAGACTTATACATGCCACATAAGATGCTTTAAATACTCAAGTGTATAATTAAATTTTAAAATATCTAATGATATAAAATAAGAAAAAATATATATAATTGAAGCGTACTTCAAGTTGTTTGCTGGCTTCTTCATTTCTCAACATCAGGGACAATTTAGTACGAAGACTTCGGAAATGCATGTCACTCAGCATGTTTGCCCTTTTAATGGTGACTTCATTGACGGACTGAATAACAAGAGGGGAATGTATATAGATATATGAACGCTTGTAAATAAAAAGAGCAAATCAATCATCACATGAATTACAAACACAGTGAGAGGGAAAGGAGAAAGGAATTAAATATATATATATATATATATATGTGTATATATAACACAAAATTACTAAATCTTCTCAATTACTATCATACGATTACTGGTTCTGCAGAGAAATTAACTGTGTTGATTGTCAATAACATTTTTCTGTTAATGTAGGTATAGGTTTGTGTGCATGAGTGTTGGTATTCGATCATTTGTATTATACCTGGGTATCCTTGTTTTGAGAAAAGTGAATACATGTGATTGAAATCAATGTGAACATAATTGTGTAAAATGATAAAATATGCACCTGTGTTTAAAGTATGTTCAGAAAATTACAAGCCAATATTTTTACTGTGCACACCCAGATAATCTCCATTCATACTAGTGCTCACATGTGTACTGGGACACTCAAGGCTGTATTTGGTCCCAATTTTGTAATGCATTAATATAAATATCAAAAAAACCTTTGGGGGGAGAATTATGTATAGTTAATAGATGCCCTGTATTCTGCTAGAAATAAATTTAAAAAAATACTTTAATAATAAAGTGCATTACTATACAACTTCTGTTGTCAGACTGATGATTTCAGGATTTTTAACTTTTTATTCACATTTAGGGTGGTTATGGTGGCTATACTAATACTTCTTACCAGAATAACAAGCTGGCAGTTCTCTGAATCGTAGCTTACTGAAAATGCTCCCACTGCCTTTTTGAAATCTTTATGTGCAGATTCTTTCGCACACCTGGAAGAGAACATCACAAACTAAACCAAAAAAAAATACACCGGAAGGAACTAGAAACAAATACATTTTATTTTACAATATACAACAAAAAAAAAATTTTTTTAGTTTGGGCTTACAGACCATTGATATTTTTTTTATTATTTATATAGCGCCATCAGACTCTGTAGCGCTGTACCATAATAAGAATCTCACCAAAATCATGCGGGTGAGTTTTCATGCAGTTGTCTGTCACTTGGCTGAATTATATGATTTCTTAAATAATTTAATAAAGTAAAATTAGGAAATTATGGATATTAAACAGATTGGATGGCTGACAATTTTAAAATTGTGTAAACAATTTACATTTACAAACAATACTCCGCAACAGTCCATTTGTTATTTCCAATCTTACTAAACAAATTACATATTGAACAAAAAGGGACAATATAAGCACCCAAACCACTTCATCTTATAGAAGTGGTCTGGGTGCAGTGTACTTTTCCCACAGCCCTGTTATGTAAACATTGCAGTTTCTCTATCATATCTACACTGTATTGCAGCACCAAATGTCAAATATACAAGGCTTACTAGATTGTCACTACGGTTACTCAATGCCAAGGTGTACACAGAGGATAGTTAAAGATTTGGCCTTTCTGTATGTTTAGCTGCATTTGTATTTTAGAACTTTAATATTGAAACAGTTATTCTATTAGTAATGTTAGTATTTATTGTGTCTGTAAATTATTTGCTAAATTAAAGAAACCAGCAGTGTTGGTCACGAGAGATATTTTGTTTGTGTCTTTGACCTGACAGATTAACTCAAAAGAGCGATGAGTTATGAATTAATCAGTCTTTCTTATGCTCCATGTCACCAAGTATTGTAGATGCAGACTCCACCTAAGAACCGTAAGAGCAACAGTAAAAATAAACATTCCCTCTTATGCCAGATACTTGGTGCTTATGTTTAAATGTGGTTGAAATGAGATAAAATGTAAGACGGACTTGGACAATCCTTTCTGCACAAGTGTGAACATATGTTGTAGGTCATTTCAGATTTGTCATCTACTTTTTATTACGGTCACTACTTTCCTGCCACAGTGGTTTTGTTATTCCTATTCTTATAAAAGTTATACTTTATTTTACAAGACCAATGAATGTTTACTGGCTTTTTGTTGTATGCCCAAAGAATAACTAAAATTACATGCTATGCCAAACATGTACAGGAGGAACTACCTACTGTGAATCAAGTCAATATCAGTATTTTTTTTTAAATAAAATTACCAAATACTACAAGTATCTGTGCTTAAAAGGGTCAACACTTGGAAAAAATGCTTTTAGCCAATATTTCTGGACCTCAAGCCCTTCACCAATACACTCTTTAACCCCTTAAGGACACATGACATGTGTGACATGTCATGATTCCCTTTTATTCCAGAAGTTTGGTCCATAAGGGGTTAAAAAGGAAAATGCATTGGTGTCAATATAAAACATGACAGCGGCAGCGTGCACAAATCAGGAGGAAACCAGAAGTCTCGTGCCTTTCAGATAATTGGAACTACTGTTACTTAATGTCAATGATGATCTCTCGTTTACCTGTCAGGTCAAATAAATTTGAGACATAGCTCAGGCATATGACTGAATCAATTAAAACTCAATTTGGAACACCTCTATCAGGAATAAAAAGAACAAGGTGTTTTTGTGCAAAATTAAATGGTTTTATTTAAAACTATGCTAACGAATTGAATAGGTTACAGACTAACATGAGCAAAACGTTTGCTGTCCAATTGTGAAAATTTCTAAAATATTTCTATGGCTGAAAGAGTTTCAACATAGAATATTCTCTCATGACCCTCATTTCTCAACATTTGAGGAAACTCTACTGCATTTAGGTAAAAACAAATCTATTCACAGTAATGTCAGTGGGTTACCCAATCCAAATTTCCAATATCTCACAAATGGCTAACAAATTAAGCAGCTCTCCATCACATTCTAAAATGTGTGTAGCTTAGGCTCCAAGTGAGAGGTGTGGGTGCCAATTATATGCGATATGTTAATTTAAAGGGATATTCTGGGAACCAGTCCAATTTCATCTCAAGTTGTTATAGTGCCTAGATTCTCCCGTCTTACAATTAAGTGCATTCAAAAGCTCTTTGCACCACAAGATATATGTTAAGCCTAGGCCAGGGATAGACAACTTTTGGCACTCCAGATATTTTGTACTACATCTCCTATAATGCTCTTACAGCCATAATGCTGGCAAAGCATCAAGGGAGCCGTAGTCCCCAACATCTGGGATGCCGAAGGTTGCCTATCCCTGGCCTAGATTATTCTCTGCTTGTAGTGTCCTTTTAATTCTAAACTAATATGGGGAAAGGGACACCTAATTTAGAGTTCTGAATTGCTTTTAATGACTAATGCCTTAGTTGAGACTTGCAACTAACATTTCTTGTTTAGAAATGTATTTATGTATTTTTTGAGTGCCCTGGTAATACCCAACTAGTCTATTATCATGCCCATCAAGTCTACACAGTGTGCAGTACTGGCACTCAGCATCTCCATGTTCTGCATGGATAGATAGAGGCTAATTAGCGCATTTTACGGCGAAAATGCAATAGCCTCCCTACGGGAAAGCCCTACGGGAAAGCACTGGATTGCCTAAAGTCAGCAAAATATATCTCAGCCACAAAGGCAGAGTCAGCCGCAATGGTGTCAGGAATACATTTGTATTCCTGACACTATATAAAAAAAATAAACATTTTGCATAACATTTATTTGAAACCTTGAATGAACAATAGCACAGAAAACTAGGATAATTTTGCAAATTAAGAATTTTAACCGATTTACGTGATACTGAAGAAAATAGAATTTTGGAAAATTACATTTATTTACATTTCTTTCCCCCTAATTTATAGGGTTATCCATTGGTTATGGAAGTGTAAGTTAAAAGGTGAAGTTAAAGGTGTTTTAAATAACATACAAATTAACGATTGTACATACATTTGTCGCAAGTCTTCAGGCACTTCCAACTTGACTTTGTGGAAAGTGTTTTTTGTTGCAGGCTTGTTGGGATTCACAGCTCGTAGCCGTTCAATGGTGACAATTTCATTGTATGTAGCGTCACAAGCTGCATATTCTATAACATAAAACTGAGTGGAAAAAAAATAATATAAGAAAAATCCTAGTTTTAATTTAAAACATTGATCTGTCCTAATTTAACGGTCCTTTAATTTTTATGTTTATTAGGAAATATGTACTAATCTTCAAATCAATTTGTTTTAATACATACATTTTAATATGGTTTACATATATACTAAATATAAGAAGGATAAAACAGACATATTCCTACCTCACCCTTTATCATTCTAACTTTAGCAAGCCACCAGCAGCATGGCTCCTTCTCATTCGCCCTGGAATAGACCTAGAAAACATTAAGAGGACCTTCAAGATGAACAAATTACGAATATGCTTAAATGTAAGACAAACAATCTTCAGCACCTCCTTATATGCATTTGTACAATTGCAAATATTAAGACTAAATTCCCCATTACATAGACAAAAAACCCAAAAACAAAGCAGTGCATGTTAACAAAAAATAGCCATCTGACATTAAGGGATGCAAGCAGACAGGAGTTCATTCTACAAAGTTGTACAACACATGCTAAAGTACCAAATGAATTTTAATAAGGGATCCCGTACAGTCCCCATAAAAAATAGCCTTCATTAATTAACTGTTCCAATGACACCACAGCAGCTTTAAAAAGTTTGAAGAATAACCAACAAATCTGGACTTCAAGGGCATATGTCACTTCCCATGATTTATTCATATTTCTATATTTACTAATCCCTATATTAAACCCAAAAATTATTTGTAAGGTGTGACAAAAATAGAAATGTAGAAATTCACACTTTTTATCCTGCAACTGGGCTCCTGCATGTTGTCAATCATTGTCATGTGCTCTATTCATTGCACCTGGTAGTCAGCATAGAGAAAGCGAGAAATGAAACATTTCTATTTCTCCTCCTCTTTTCCAGTATTTGTCCTGGATTTGCCTTACCCGAACTTGACTATAATGTAATTGGCTAAATGTTTTTATATAAATGTAAAAGAGAATCATCACATGAAAAAAGTTAACAAGTTATTTTTAACATTTTATTCATTTGTGTAATTTCCAGAATAGACAGTACACACTTAAAAAAATAAAATAAAAAATAATAATAAAAAAAAAAACACTCCTAAGTTGGAAAATATCAAATAATCAATGCAAGGATTTGTTAAGTGAACTAGTATATTATCCTTTTAAAAACCACCAAGCTTAAAGTTATGTTTATAGCCTCACTCCAATCAATGAGGTCTCTAGTCTGCATGATAATTAAGATCTTTATTCAACTAATTTGTTCCATTTAAGTATGGAAGGGAAGTAAAGGCATGCTACAGTTTACAAAAAAAAAATAAATGTAAAAAATAAAAATAAAAAAAAATCTTACTCCGACACTGATGTGCATATGGGGAAGAGATCAGAAATGGTTTCTCTACTTACATGAAATAATGAATGAGGCAACTCTTGTACAAATGAATAGAAGTTGCCAATGGCTTTCCTTTTCACTAACATACTTTATTGTATTCCTTATTTAAAGTCAATAGCAAAAGTACAATTGCTGTACTGATCATGATTGTGTTTCTCTATAGACTTGAACAATTAGGTAGCATTCGCATGTGTCTTCGTACATTCATGCACAAATCTCCACAATTTAGGAGTTAAGTCACTTTGTTTATGCAGTCCTAGACACATTTCCCTGCCTGTTATTTACTCAGCCTACCTAAACACTTTTTGTAAATTTGCAGTGTGTTTAATTTAGAATTTCCTATCTCTTCCTCTGTTGCAAGCCTGCAGGAGCCTTGTGTGTGATTAAAGTTCAGTTAACAAAGCATGACAAACTCTAAAAAAAATAAAAAAAAATATATATATTCACACACACACACACACACACACACACACACTTTGCTATGAGATCTGATTAAAAATAAAACAAGTTTTACATGTTGGCTATGAGAGTCAAAGAAAAGTGTAGCTAGGACAGCATAAACAAAAACAAATGAGATAGAACTCATAAATGAAAGACAGTTTAGCAGTGAGACTGCAAGGGTGTGGGCTATACACCAAAACGGCTTTATTACAATAATACATTTTTGGTGCTTCGGATCTCTCTTTTACACTCACTAATTCACCAAATCAAAATGATTAAAGCTAAACGATTGGCTGGGTTAATCCTGCCAGTTCTTCCATGACACTGAATAACCATAATACAATGCAGATCCCTGAAAAAACACACACACACACACACACACAACCACTTTCAAAGTTCGGCCTCTATCTTTTAAATATTTGGTTATTACTTTGAAGTGATTTTAATACTTTATGTACACAATACAGAAAAATTCTTAAATTTACTCCTGAATTGTCCTTCAGCTAAAACACATTAGAGGCTATAAGATATTATGTTATGTTCTAAAGCAAAAATTCTAGAGGTGAATAGTGATGTCCCGAACTGTTCGCCGCGGACTCATCATTAAGTAAACTTTGACCCTGTACCTCACAGTCAGCAGACACATTCCAGCCAATCAGCAGCAGACCCTCCCTCCCACCTCCTGGACAGCATCCATTGTGAAGCTGCATTCTTAGTGAGCTGTTCAGGAGGTGGTAGGGTCTGGGAGGTAGGGTCTGCTGCTGATTGGCTGGAATGTGTCTGCTGACTGTGAGGTACAGGGTCAAAGTTTACTCAATGATGAGTCCGCGGCGAACCGTTCGGCGAACAGTTCGGGACATCACTAGAGGTGAACAATGTAAAACAAAAATACGACAAAACGTGGTATTACATATTTATTACATAGGCCGATAGGTGGCATTCATAATTCAAGGAAGTGACGTGAATTTTCTTCAGTGTTCTGCTTTAGCTTTTGCTGAACCAATATATGGGCAATAAGGAGTTCAACAAAAATTGCAGAAGCATTGGATATGCATGCTTAGTGTTTCTTGTAAAGATTTGTATGGAACAGTGGCAGCTATGCCACTTCTCAATATTGCATATAGTAAACTTCAACGTGAAATAATAGTGTTGTTGATGTTGATATTTCATCGAAATTCCAACTCCATATCATAAGATAAACTAGGAACTAACTTTTGTTATGGGCAAAAGCAAGACTGAAGAAAAAAAGCTCAGAAGCTCCCCTTTTGTCATTACCCAACAGATTTTTCTAGCGTTGGCTGTGGAAAAAATGCATCTTCACGCATATTGTGCAAGAAAATCTATGAAGGATCTGCAGTCAATTCTATAGTCCGTTTGTGCTCTTGCACATTCGCAAGAGTATAACAGTGTGGACTCCTGGCAGATGATTCGCCAGGAACTACAAACAGAGGGCAACCTTCTAGTAAGGTTATCTTCCTTTAGCTTCTCCCCGGGCTGCTACACATCAAGAAGACATGACACTTAGAAAGGTATTTGCAGAACCTGTAAAGACTACAAATATGATAGAGCCATGTTTTCTTATCTTCATGGCAAAACCTTTAAAATATGCATTTTCTTCATGGAAAATGGGGCATTTTAAGTAACAACCATTAAGGCATAATGACTGACTCCTCTAGACTGCAAGCTCATTTGAGCAGCCCTCATTGTTCCTGTAACATTTTTTTTTTAATGGTCTTGTTCCATTTTATAATATTGTAAAGCGCTGCGGAATAAGATGGCAAACAAGAACAGTGACAGGAGTCCTCTGATAAGAGTCAAATAATTTTCAACTGGTTTGACACTTAACAGGGCACCCGCAGTCCATATCTACTTTACAGATATTCCCAAAACTAACGACCCCTTTTTGCTTTAGTAACATTAATTTTGTTACATTTGTAAGGAATTCTTTGGATTAAGAATATCAACTGAGGCTCTCAGCATATACATTCTTTCCAAAGATAGTTATAACAGATTTTGCTAAAGTGGAAGGAGAACTTCCACTATAATGAGATCTGTGTATTTTGCACAGACTCAAATCACAGGGGGAACCCAGTTTAGTGTCAAAGTATTCAAAACCATTTTACCTTTAACAGTGGTGACACCTGGCACCAAAATAAGATATAATGGATATGGAGCTTAATCTATCATTACTGCAACATTATACCTCTCCAAAGGTGTCCTCTTCATTCCCTATAAATCTGTCAATTTAATCACGTTCATTTTACCACCCCTCACTTATCACATGTTCCTTTATTCACTCTCCTCATCTCTCTCTGACATTATACAATACATCACATCTCCCCACATTTATTTAGTTCATCATACCTCTCTCCTCAACCTTCTAATCCCCTTTCAAGCTCTCATTCAACCTCCATATCCTCCCCCCCCCCCAAACCTTTACCCTGTTCACAACAAAGATAAAATACTGAATTTAAATATAAAACAATTGGTGTTCATTGTACCTAAGGGACGTTCCTTTAGTTATATAGCTAGGTTAAGACATTTTATGTCACTTCATACATTCCTTGAACCTTCCAAAAACTGGTTTAACCCCTTAAGGACACATGACATGTGTGACATGTCATGATTCCCTTTTATTCCAGAAGTTTGGTCCTTAAGGGGTTAAAGGGACACTAGAGGCACCCAGACTACTTCTACCCATTGGAGTGGGCTGGGTGCCCCCCCCCCCAACCCCCCTTAAGTGTATTTATTGCAGTTTTTATAAACTGGAATAATTACCTTGCAGGGTTAAGTCCTCCTCTAGTGGCTGTCTATGATACAGCTATTAGAAGGGCTTCCGGGATCTAAAAACACAAAAAGTATTGTAAACGACGCTGGACATCCTCATGCTATGCACGAGGACCTCCAGCGTCACTGGAATCCCCATAGGAAAGCTTTGAGTAATGCTTTCCTTTGGGGAGGTCTAATGCGCAAGCGGCCATTGCCGCGCATGGGCATTAGGTCTCCCCCACCGGCTGACGGCAGTGGAGGAGCGTGGGCGGAGCATGACCCAGCACCAAGGGACACACTTTTAGTTTTTAGCTTGTTAAAAAAAAAAAAAAAAAAAATTGAAATAAAGAGGACCTAATGGTTTGTTCTAGTAAAAAGCTAACTTTCTCTTGAAAGTCTGTGAGTAACAAAGCATACACATTCTGCAAAAGTAGCATTTTATCAAAATATTTACCAAATATAACATTTATACAGAAAAAAAAACAAAAAAAAACAAAACACATGCAGTCCTTTCAGTTGGAGTTGCACAAAGAACTTTATTAACAGTGAATGGAATCCTAAAATAATTCTCCAGAGTAAACTGTGTTTTGCATTCAAATCCAAAAAGTCTTATTTTACATCCTTAATTCATTTTTCAAACCCAGTTCACAGCCTAGACATAGAACATGTATTTACAATAAGTAGATTTCTGGGAATGAATAGAATTAAAATTATAATTTTGTTATGGCGTACGGCTGTCAACATCTTGAAAAAGCTGTTCAAAATTAGTCTATGTTTAAAATTAGTCATATCGCACATTTTACTTGGCATAAATTTTTAGCCAATATAAAATGTGCAGTATGAAGTAATTGTTAAAGGGACACTATAGTCAGCAGAACAACTACAGCTTAATGTAGTTGTTCTGGTGTGTATAGTATGTCCCAGCAAACATTGTCTTTCAGAGACACATGAAAAGACAGTGTTTACATTGGTGCCTAGGGACACCTCCAGTGGCTGTCACTGAGACAGCCAGTAGAGGTGCATCCAGGGTCAGTGCTGCACAACATGAAGCACTGACGTTCAGTGTCTCCGGAACTCTGCAAGGAGGCACTGAACTTTCCCCATAGACATACGTAGATTCCATGCATCTTTATGAGGAGATGCTGTTTGTCAGCATGGCGTATAGCTCTGCCCTCGCCTCACTTGCTTTGCTGAGATCATCAGAATTGACAAGCTCTGCCAATTCAATGCTTTGCCAGATTGAGGGCAGGGCGCTGAAATAAATGTACGTTTTTAAACTTATTTAAAGGAGGCAAGTGGGGATGACAACTTAAATAGTGTTTTTAAACACTATAGGGTCAGGAATACACATTTATTTTTCTGACTCTATAGTGTTCCTTTAATATACTATCCTTCACATAGTTAAATTACAAGCAAATTTGTAGATTAAATTATATTTCTACCTGAGGGTTTTGTCCTGGCTGTTGCACATGCACCCTATAGCAGCCATAAAGCATGTAAGGTCAACTCTAAAATCATTATGCACCATTCTGAAACTGTCCACTATGCATAAAAGTGTAACTTATACACAACTTTATGTTCTTTTATAAGAGTGCACAATTTCACCTACACAATGTGCTAGCAGAACTGATAGCTATATATATATATATATATATATATATATATATATATTTATTTATTTTTTTATTTTATTTATTTATTTATTTATTATCTATAAAGCAACAGACATCCATGATGAAATTGAGAGTCAGGAGCAGAACAAGTTGCTGCTTTCCCTCACAGTCACCTCCATCAATGTGAATATCCTGGGGAACTGTGCCCAAGAAGCGTTAATTGTATACGTAGGGGATGAGAGTTGCATAAACGCAACACTCACAATGGCAACTTGGTGCTCAGTGCTGAACAGAAAGCAAGTTAAAATCCAATATCTCAGTAAGTAAAGAGATGTATCATTGTTCATTATGATCAAACATACATTATTTGCCCATTGAGGTATTAGAGATGAAAATGAAACAATCATGAAAGCTACAGTTTAAGGGACAATAAGCATTTTGTGGATTACACTCAGCTTGCCGTGACACTGCATGAAGAATGAATTTTCCTTTTATAAAAATGTACAAATATTGAGAACATGTTTTTGAGTCAAGACAGAAAAGCAGTACACATTAAGCATAACATAGTTTAATTATGCAGGGAACATGGTTCATCTGTAAAAGGAAATACTTTTGTTTATTAAACTGACATTCCTCACAACCTACCATGAAATCATCTTCGCCTTTCACCCTCAAAAACTAAAAAGAATAAATGAAAAAAAAAAGAAGAGTTTATTATCTATTATTGTGTTCAAAATTTAGTACATCACAGGAATGAAGGTTCCATGCACAACATTACCACAATGAATGAGGTACTTACCTCTACTTCATCGCTTTCATTGATGTCCTTATTAGAACTTGGAGGAGGCGGGAACCTTACATCATGGAATGGGATCTGTCTCTCTGGCTGCCAACTGCAAGCACAAGTCTATCACACAGTGGCACAACAGCAAGTGGAATAGTGATGGTTAACATTTACAATTGCAGGTGTTGGTGCTCACATTTTACCGATGCTCTGCCAATACTCAACAGCTGCAGTGCCAAATGTTAAGCCACCTCACTCTCAGATTATTATGAATCTGTTCAACACAAACTGCAGAGAAATGCTTATTTGTATTTCAGAACCATTTTCATTGCTAGTAATATTCTAAGTAGAGCAAAGTCCATTTTTTTTAACTTGTAAAACTACCTCAATTCAGCAAATTGAGGAATAAAAGGTCATTCCAAGATTTTTAAAACTTTACTATAGAGCTGAATACTTGAATATTAAAAAATAAAAATAAAATCTAACATGTACTTTATTAATTAGCTGTTTTTAAAGTATGATAAATATCCAGCGTGCAACTACCTTTAAACTACACATTGTTCACACAATAAGCCAGAATTAAGATATTTAAGAAAAAGTGAAGGGGGAGGGGAGTCTCACTAATACAAAAATAGATGTCATCACATTTTTATGTGCTTACTTATTTTCGAAGGCAACGGTTATGGAATCCTCATGTACATCTTTAACAAATGCCTAGGAAAAAAATGAAACAAAAACACATTAATAGATTTTACATATTTATCAGCATGCTTTGAGATTATCAGGAAGAATTGTGATTTCCAAAAAAGCAAACAAAGGTTTCACTTGAATTTAAGAGGTTTAGATAATTGTCTACAATTGTTTTCTATTTGGACACGGAGTAATAAAATGATGCACTTTAGTAATCGTTTAATTCAGGCAATGGCATTTGACAAAATTATTTTACCATTTTTTAATTACTAAAAATATATTTCTATTGGAGTACATTTTAAAGGAAATCTTGAAATTTTTTATTTTTGTTTCAAGGATCTAATGTTTACAGAAATATAGTTTACCTAGCTAAAAAAAATAAATAAAATATATATATATATATCTATATATATCTATCTTATTGTTAAAGTACTAGAATTCTGCAGACAAACAGAGATAAAGTAGACTTATGCACAACAGGAACATTTGGCCAAATTAGCAGAATGTTGGTTCAGCTAGGCAGAATATCGGTACCAAAAACCTGGTTCAGGGACGAAATCAGGCAAACCAAAGGGAGCAAAATAGGTCCAGTGTACTGCATAAAACAGATAGGAGCATTTCCCCACCAATTGGTTCACAGATCTAGTGTGAACAAGTATCCAAAAGCAAGAAAAACAAGAGCAGTAAAAATATAAATAATTTATATTATTACACACACACACACACACACTGATCTGTGAATAAAATCAACATTCAGTGACTGTTGCATAGCCATCAATAATCCCTCTTTAGGCACCATGGGTGGAATCAGGAAGCACACCCCCAAAGCAATTGCACACTTCAGTTGGTTCGTGATTACAGAACATTTTGACTCTGAGCTCATGAATTCAATCATTGATTCAATCATTTGATCGGCCTAATTCGGACGGATTGCAGTCCAATTCAAAATGAACCTCCAAATCTGGTAAAGAGTACCAGAACAAAACTTAGTCCAATTAGAGTGGACAAATCATTTTATCGTATACCTCAGTACAGAACTCGGCAAGAAGGAAGTATTTTTAGGCTGAAGGCATGGTGCAGAAGAGATAGGCTATTCTACATAATTTTCTTTTGCAAAGACTAAATACATTTGAGTATGAAAAATAAAAATAAAAGAGCAAAAAAATACCAAACTGTGTCAATGCTAGGATTAGCCATTGCAGCTCATGTTTATTGGCTTTCTTCATATTCATAATATGTAACTATCTATCTTGTGGTTATTTTGAACTCTCCTCTACTCTTAATTCCTACCTCAATGCTTTGCTTCAGCAAATGGACTCCCATCAGTCAAAAAAAAAAACAAGTAGCTCTGTGCAAAATTGTAAGCCAAGGTCCTCAACATATATGGTACCTTCATGTATCAACATGGTTCATACTATGTGAACGAACAAGTAAAAGAATTAGGTTTATCTTATGAGGTGCATTCACAATCTCTGAGAAACTGTTACTCATGAAAGAAGTAACCATATTGGTTTTAATAAAAGCAGGAGTGTGAGGGGTTCCCTGCACCAATGTTGTGTGTGTGTGCGCATGTCCCATGCGCACAGCTTTACAGAGCTTAAATAATTTGCATGCCCCAGTGTTGCTGGACAGAGAATATGAATTTAAAAAAAGTGTTGTGTTTATTTTTATTTTTTTTTAAATATAGTTTTAGCACAACCAATAGCCAACTTTCAGTTACCCATTTCGCTCTACTAAAATCAGGGATTGGACAGATCCTTTTTAAAGGGTCATATTGAGGCCTATACTAACTTTGCATACAGTATTTTTTGGTGCAGCAATAATCCTGCACTTACTTTTACCCCATCAGCCTGGTTCACAACACAGAACTGCAGTATGGCTGAAGTTTATTTTTAAAGGACCACTCTAGGCACCCAGACCACTTCAGCTTAATGAAGTGGTCTGGGTGCCAGGTCCTTCTAGGGTTAACCCATTTTTTCATAATTATAGCAGTTTCAGAGAAACTGCTATAATTATGAATGGGTTAAGCCTTCCCCCTAATCCTCTAGTGGCTGTCTCATTGACAGCCACTAGAAGCGCTTGCGTGCTTCTCACTGTGATTTTCACAGTGAGAGCACGCCAGCGTCCATAGGAAAGCATTATGAATGCTTTCCTATGTGACCGGCTGAATGCGCGCGCAGCTCTTGCCGCGCGTGCGCATTCAGCCGGCGGGGCGTAACGGAGGCGGAGAGGGGGAGGAGAGCTCTCCGCCCAGCGCTGGAAAAAGGTAAGTTTTTACCCCTTTCCCCCTTCCAGAGCCGGGCGGGCGGGGGTCCCTGAGGGTGGGGGCACCCTCAGGGCACTATAGTGCCAGGAAAACGAGTATGTTTTCCTGGCACTATAGTGGTCCTTTAAAGCAGCTCCATTCATTCCATGCGATGAGCGGAATTGTTGCTTAGAAGTAAATTAATGTTCCTCTATACTCCTGCTGAGACACTGTGAACCCATAGACTAAAATGAGCAGATCCTGATTGGTGGAGCCTTTTCCTGGCGGAGGGGAGGGATGTGCCTTTTGATAACAACTGATGTGAAAACGTGAGGTTCTCTCTAAAATATCTTTTTGTTTTGCACATTTTGATACATTATTACAAAAACATTCTAACACAAAGACACACAACAACAACAAAATTGAACAATCTTTCCCTTTAATTCCCAGTTATTAACCTCTACAGTTTGCAGCCTGAGGATGCTTTTAAAATTGGAACATGACCCTGATGATGCACAACCCAGACATGATAATGTCCTGGATGGTAATCATGACTATTCTAGACCACAGCATCTGGAGTACTACAAGGTCTAGGTAAGAACCTTATAATACTGGATGTTTGCCATTACTTCTCATAACAAGTTAGACATAATAACGAGATGCCTGCTAAGTGTGGAGTCCATAATGAAATAACAAAAAGGGTCTGGCATCATGCTGCTGGGAGTGCCAATGACGTGCCATGCCAGTCTGGAGATGCTGTCCTGGCAGATGGGGAATGGCAGTGACAGATGAATGGTCTGGCCAGGATCAGGCTAGGGGGAGGCCTGTCTGGGCAGTGTGTTGCGAGCTCTGTGAGGGATGTCCTCCCCTGGAAGGCTGGGATGCTGCCCTGGCAGGTGAGGAATGGTCTTGGCCAGGATCAGACTAGGGGCAGAGTGTTGGGAGCTCTGTGAGGGATGCCCTCCCCTGGCAGGCTGGGATGCTGCCCTGGCAGGTGGTGAATGTTCTTGGCCAGGATCAGACTGGGGGCAGAGTGTTGGGAGCTCTGTGAGGGATGCCCTCCCCTGGCAGGCTGGGATGCTGCCCTGGCAGGTGGGGAATGGTCTTGGCCAAGATCAGACATGGGGGAGGCCTGCCTGGGCAGAGTGTTGGGAGCTCTGTGAGGGATGCCCTCCCCTGGCAGGCTGTGGGAGCAGGCGGTGGGAGCAGGGTGAGGGGAGGGATAGCCTATGAATGGAGGGAGGGGAGCTTTGCAAGTCATTATTCGCACACAGGCCCGGTCACAGCTCGGGGCCTGCACTCCGCGCTCGGTCCCCGTGGCGGCAGACCCCCCGCACGCAGGGCAGGCCTTACCTTGTAGAAAGCCCCGTTGGAGCCCCGCACCTCCACCGCCAGCTCCTCCATGTCTCTGGGCGCGATGCTGCCTCGCTCTCAGGCGGTGGATCGGACTGCCCCCCCCGCCCGGGCCTCTGTCTCCCTTGTCACGGGTAGGAGCCCAGCATGAGGCCCAGCTGCCCGCCCCTCCTTGTCCTGCTCCTCGCCTCCACCACCTCCTCCTCGCGGGAAATGAAACCGAAACGGGCCCCGCCAGGCGACAAGAAAACCCCTGAACCGCCTCGAATGTAAACATTAAAAAACCCGGTCACGTGACGGAGGCCGCAGCTCGGAGCATGCCCATTCACAAACGGCTCGGCGCAGCCTAACCTGACTGCCGCTCCGGGCCCCGCCCTCCCTGTCTGTGCCTGACGTCAGCGGCAGACTGGCTTGCCCGACGGCCAATGGGGGGGGCGGACGAGAGCGCGAGCCAGCCAGGAGGAGAGAGGAGGGGAGGGTCCTTTCCACTACAGGCAATGTGATGGGAAGGGAGGGGGTGGCGGCGGTGACGTCGGAGGAGGAGGGAGATGGCGGGGGTTGCCGTGGTTACGAGGGGAGCAGACGGAGGTGTAACTGAAGAGCGCGTCTAGCATAGGCTATGCCAGCTTCACCTCCACTGCTCCCATAGCATGGAAAGGGGTCTAGTAAGGAGACCCCGGCACTTTCAGAGAATTTGGGATAAAATAGAGCATTCATAGAGCTTGGCGGATTTGTCCTAAATTTTAGCCTCTCTGCAGCTAGGTGTTTAGTGAATAACCCCCTATTGACCGCTATATGTGCGAAACTATGAATCGAAGACACTTGGAGTGTAAATTTTAGGTTTCTGATAAAAAATAAAAAAATCACCTGGTTGGTAAATTATTTAAATTTTCTATTCACTTAACACAGATTTAAAAAAAAAAAAAAAATTCTGGATAGGCAAAATTGGGTGAATATGGCAGAATTCTCATATTTACTGAAGCCAATTTCCGGTTTGGAATTTAGTCAACCCAATGAAATAGCCGCAAATTCGGCCGTTTGTGTTTGGTGTCAACTTTAAAATCGGGGGCTTTTCTCGATTTGAATCCTATAGAAATTATAGGATTCACACATTTACAAAGCATTGATTTGAAAGAGAATCGCAACCGAATGCATCGGTAGGATGAATGTTTGCACATTTTTTTTGTTCACTTGCTTTTTTTCAAACCAAGGATAATTAGAAGTTAAAAACCCATGGTGGTGCATAAATAAAGGGATATGGCGACTGACTAATGTTTTTGTTAGCCAGCAAAAGCCTATATGGTTCAAAATGACTGCCAAATTAATAGAATACAGGTTTAAAACCTCTGTTTTGCCCCCCACCTGCCATGCTGCAGTCAGCAGCTGCTCACTGTAAAACTAGCTATTGGGCAGCTATTGCTGCTTAATATCGAAAAAGAGCCATATCCGCATTTAAACTACTGGTGGTATCTGGCACTGGTTGCTCCTGTGGGCATCAATTGGGGGTATAGGTCACTACTGGTGTTTCTAAACTTAAACCAGAAAGGACATTTAAGTTTCCCCCTAGTCCCCACCCATAGGCGATGGGGGCTACTAATATAATAATTGAGGTGGAAACCCACTGTCCCAGCTCCAGATGACACCCATGGGCAGTGGGTGAGGGCTATTTAGTAAGCCAAGTTACTGAACACACCATTGGCCATACCTCCCACCCAAAGCCCATGAGTGGGCCAATGGCATGTCCACCACTAAGATTATAAAATAGCAACTCACCCACTGCCAATGGGATGCAGATGGAGTTGTGCAATTGTATTGTTTCCCGAGGACCTAATGGGGGTGGTCATGGCTGTAGTCCACCCCGTCCCCAAAGTTAGGGCCATTGATTCCCCCTGGGGGACTAGTAGCCACTCCCTAAGAAATGACCCCTACCCTAATAATAGAGAATATGTTTCCATGATAGCATATTTGGATAATTTTTTTGTAGGCTGCATTAAAGGGACACTTTAGTGCTAGGAATACAAATCTAAATTCCTTGCACTATACTGCCCTCTGCCTCCCTTACTGTACATACCCCGTTTCAACACAGATGTCCCTTGCCACTCCTCCGACATGAACTGACAGGGGGAACTAATGTGCATACGCTGCGAGCACATTAGGCATGTAGCGGAGCGCTAGTCCTAAACCAGTACTCTTCCTCCGATGGATCCGTGAAGACAGAAACAAGGCGCTGTGAAGTGAATAGCTCTATCCCTCCCCAGTAATTGGACGACACACACTTCTGGGAGTACAACTGATTTATTCAGCACAGCTCAGCCTTTGATGCAAAGAACCCCAGCATGGGGTCTCCATTCAAAACTACACAAGTCCCTCTCAAGCATCCCTGTGTCTGGCAAGATAATTGAGTCACAACTGAGTAACTGAATTATCTCAGTTACAGGAAACTACATGGAACAAACATAAAACACCCCCCAAAAATATTCATATTTCACAGAAACCCCACAAGTCTTATAACCCAGATCTGAGTGCCGAAGTTGTCCAAATAGCGCTCAGATCCGTTCGTTAGAACGAAATCGCCATTTGGGTAAAGTTCAAGATTATGGCCCAAAACAGTTCCAGAGAAACGAGGGCAACAGCCGGTCTTCTTTCGGGGGTTCCTGTCATGGAGTAACACTCTTGGGTTCGGCACTCAGCTGTGAGGAGCCGGACCCCGCCCCCCTCTGACACAGCTCTGATGGCATTTAGGGAGACTGGGCCAGAGAGGGGGGGCTTGGTGATTGTGTGTGAGCTGCCTCTGCGGACTCCACAGGCTCAGCTACTGGGAGCTACTTCCACCTGACTTACCTCTCCACAAGCTCAGACAAGCTGTTCCAGCCTTTGAGCCAATGCAAGGATTGCTGCATGCCATAAAGGATTACTGGAGAACGGATAATTTGCTACTTTACAAGTGGACCATATCTCTGAACTATTGGAGGACTACACATATTAACCTTAAGTATATCTTTCAGCTATTTGTCTACAATATCATTTATTAATGAACTAATGCTTGCTTACTCAAATCTTCATTGCTACAAACTACTAATTACATGGAGGACAACTCCCATCATGCTTATTCACTATGAACTGTTTCTTGCTTTGCAAAGACACTCAATACTTCAAGCTACTAATTATATGGAGGACAACTCCCATCATGCTTATTCACTATGAACTGTTTCTAACTTTGCAAATACACTCAGTGCTTCAAGCTACCAATTATATGGAGGACAACTCCCATCATGTTTATTCACTATGAACTGTTTCTTGCTTTGCAAAGACACTCAATACTTCAAGCTATTAATTATATGGAGTACAACTCCCATCATGCTTATTCACTATGAACTGTTCTTGCTTTGCAAATATTCTCAGCTACTTGCTTATTGTTTCTATTGAAGATTATTCTCATGAACTTAAAGAATGTTACTTAATGCATCTCTGAAGAAATACTTAATGAACTTTGTGTTGTTGATTACTTGCACTTCTTCTTATTGGATTATTGCCTAAATGCAATTCATTTAAGTTTAACACTTATTAAAACTTCGGTTGAATCAAGTTACCAGTGATTCTCTCTTTTCTTAAAGCTACAGTATTGATACTTTAAAGTTTCTCCGTATCTTCACTATTGTAATTAGGGAGTTTTTGCAAGCTGCAGTTGAGTTGCAATCCAAATCACCCCAAGTAGCGTAACAGTTCCTGTGAGAACACCAACGAACTTGGCAGCATTCTGCAACAATGTCTTGAACCTTTCCCAAGTAGAATGCAAATCCTCAAGATGAGCATCCAACGAAAGTAAAGGTATACCTTAGTTGGAAAACACACCCGGAAGCACACTGGGTTGCACCCAATAGACAATGAAGAAAGGAGAATGACCTGTAGATTTGTGCGGAGCAGTGTTCCTGGTATACTCAGCCCAAGGTAAGAGTAGTCTAGGTGTCTTGGTGCACATTCATGAAACTGTGTAGGTACGTTACAAGAGACTGATTAGCCTTTTCACTGGCCTATTAGACTGAGGGTGATATGCTGAAGAAAAAGACAACTATATCCCCATTTCAGAACAAAAACCCCGCCAGAACCTAGAGATAAATTGAGAACCTCTTTCTGAAACAATCTTCTCGGGTATGCCATGAAGTCTAACAATCTCTCTGCAGAAGATCTTAGATAAGGATTTAGCGGTAGGTAATTTCTTCAAGGGAACAAAGTGAGCCATCTTGGAGAACCTGTCTACTACCATCATTATAACTGTATTGCCCTCGGAAGGTGGTAAGTCGACTATAAAGTCCATGAATAAATGTGTCCATGGTTTTGAAGGTATAGGTAAAGATAGCAATCGACCAGCAGGTTTTTGTGTAGACAATTTACTTCGACTACAAACAGAGCAGGCCTTAATGTAGCCAACTACATCTGTTTTTAATGATGACCACCAAAAGGAGAGGATTATGTTTTGTTGTGTCTTTTTCACACCCATGTGACCAGAGACCTTAGTGGAATGACGCAAATTAAGTATCCTTTCTCTCCCTCTCTGCTGTGTACAACTTTTCTAGGGGCATTCCCTTAGGAACTTGATCTTGTTAAGCACAAATTTTCCCCAACAACGGAGAAGAAAGTCGTACGTGTAGCAGCTACGACGCTTCAACATGCACTATAGGTAGTTCACCTTCTGTTCTCACTTCTTGGGTTTTCGAATTGTCTAGATAAAATGTCAGCCTTCTTATTGCGGTAACCAGGCCTATATGTGACTATGTAATTGAAACGAGAGAGAAAAAGAGACCATTGTGCTTGACGTGCAGACAACCTTTTAGCTTCTGAAATGTATGAAAGATTCTTATGATCTTTTAGTACTAAAACAGAATCTTTGGTACCCTCTAACAAATGTCTCCGTTCTTTGAATGCAAACACAATGGCTAACAATTCTCTCTTACCAATGTCATAATTTCTTTCAGCATCGGATAACTTTTTTGAGAAGAAACAACATGGATGTAGGTTGGTCCTGATCAGTTCTTTGGGATAATATAGCACCAATACCGTTTTCTGAGGCATCAACCTCAATTCCAAAATATATAGAAAGATCAGGATGAGTCAAGACAGAGGCTGTGGAAAAAGCTGCCTTAAGTTTTCTCCATAGCGGCTAGAGCCTCTGGAGTCCAAATTAGAGGATTGACTCCTTTCTTAGTCATATTGGTTAATGGTGTTATAATGGAAGAAAAGTTGTGTATAAACTTCCTGTAATAGTTTGAAAACCCCCAAAAACGTTGTATAGCCTAAGACTTGTTGAAGGGACCAAGTAAGAATAGCCTTATGGTGGGAGGGATCCATGGTAAAACCAGATTCTATAATGAAATAGCACAGAAACTGAACACAAGAGTGATGAAAAGAGCAATTTTCCAAGTTACAAAACAAACCGTACTCTAATAACTTAAAACCAGTCGGACATGTTTGTAATGTGTCTCAAGATCAGGTGACAGTACAAGAATGTCATCCAGATATAGAACAGTGCATATAGGTAATAATTCTCTTAATGAGTCATTGCTGACATCCTGGAAGACAACCGGGGCATTACACAACTCAAAAGGCATAAACAAGTATCCAATTATGGGTGTTAAAGGCTGTCTTCCACTCGTCTCCTTCACGGATCCTAAACAAATCATAGGCACCCCTGACGTCTAATTTGGTAAATACCTTGGAGCCTTTCAGACGATCCAACAATTCAGTAATCAAGGAGATAGGATATATGCTGCGAACCATAATACGATTCAATCCTCTATAATCGATACAAGGTCTGAGGTCTTCTTCCTTTTTAGATACAAAGAACAACCCTGCACCTGCTGGGGAAGAAGACCTTCTAATGAAACTTTTGCTAATGATTCTTTGATATATTCCTCCATAACCATGTTCTCCTTTTCAAAAAGTGGATAAACCTTTCCCTTAGGTGGCATGGTCCCAGAAAGGAGATCGATCGCACAATTGTAAGAGCGATGAGGTGGCAGCTTGTCAGCCTCCCTTTTATCAAATACCTCAGTTAATACCTCATCTAGATATTGTGGAAGTACCTCTGCGGATAGATGGGTAGCAGTGGGAACATTGATCGGCAGTATAGTTTTAAGAGAAGAAAGACACTGTTTATGACACTTGGTGCTCCACTTGGTTATCTCCCCAGTTTCCCAATCGATTACTGTGTTATGTTTAACCAACCAGGGGTTATCCAGAACAACAAAACAGGAAGGAGAGGATAGAACCTGATATGTGATTATGTCAGTATGCAAGATACCCACAGTCATAGAGACGGGTTTGGTCTCATGAGCGATGAGAGGAGTACGTAGTGGTCTACCATCTATTGCCTTTAGAAGGACAGGAACAGCAGAATCATCAACAAAAGTGGAATCAATGAAATTATCTGCTGCTCTTGAATCCATCAAGGCTTTAACAAGGATGTTCTGTTCTTTGATCTTAAAGGACCACTCTAGGCACCCAGACCACTTCAGCTTAATGAAGTGGTCTGGGTGCCAGGTCCCTCTAGGATTAACACTTTTTTTATAAACATAGCAGTTTCACAGAAACTGCTATGTTTATAATAGGGTTAATCCAGCCTCCAAATCCTCTAGTGGCTGTCTCATTGACAGCCGCTAGAGGCGCTTGCGTGGTTCTCACTGCGAAAATCACAGTGAGAACACGCAAGCGTCCATAGGAAAGCATTGTAAATGCTTTCCTATGAGACGGCTGAATGCGTGCACATTCAGCCGAAAAGGGAGGATCGAAGGCAGAGAGGAGGAGGAGAGCTCCCCGCCCGGCGCTGGAAAAAAGGTAAGTTTTAACCCTTTCCTCTCCCCAGAGCCAGGCGGGAGGGGGACCCCGAGGGTGGGGGCACCCTCAGGGCACTATAGTGCCAGGAAAACGAGTATGTTTTCCTGGCACTATAGTGGTCCTTTAAGATAAACTGACAATGTGAACCTAGATGTTTCAGGTTCAGGGGACATTACACCCAAGGCAGGCCCCCTGTTAGACCTTAGGTGTGAGAGTTTACCGGATGGCTGGGATATTCCTTCCTAAGATGACCCTTCTGTCCACAATAAAGAGAAAGTCTCTCTCTTATTCTGAATGCCTTCTCAGCCTCGGATATTCTTATTATGTTATTATTTATATAGCGCCATCAAATTCCGCAGCGCTTTACAACGGGTGGACGAACAGACGTAGTTTTAACCAGACAAGTTGGACACACAGGAACCGAGAGGTTGAGGGCCCTGCTTAATGAGATTACATGCTAGAGGGAGTGGGGTAAAGTGACACAAAAAGGTAAGGATAGTATTACACTAGTGACAGTTGCAAAAGAGGAATCAGTCGGGAACTATTAACAGTTTAATTTATATACTTTTATGAAGAAGTGGGTTTTTAATGATTTTGTGAAGGAGTGGAGACTGGGTGAGCATCTAATGGAGGAGGATAACTTTGTTACACCTAATTGCATGGGTTCTGGGGCACGTAATGCTAACACCTCTCAAACCGGGGATGGTAAGGCAGGGTTCATGACCATTCTCCTTTGTCTCTTCTTTTGTGAACGTCTATCTCTGAGTCGATTATCTATATGTATATAATAATCGATCAGATCATTTAAGTCGGAAGGAAATTCTTTGGCCGCTATTTCATCCTGAATGTTATCAGCTAAACCCTTCTGGAAAGCCGTAACCAACCCACTGATAGACCATGGAAGCTAATGTCCCAAATTCAATAGCATATTCTGCCGCTGAGCGAGATCCCTGTCTTATTCTCATTAGAGACTTGCCAGCATAATGAGCGCATCAAAAGTCCTCATGAATGCAGAAAAAAGTTAGCGTAGCTATGGACAACAGGTGAATCAGTCTCTCATGAAGGGTTAGCCAGGCTAGGGCCTTATCAGCTAAATGATTAACTAGAAATGCAATCTTCGACCTATACGTGGAAAAA